TGGAGGTGATCAGAGGGGCTGATGATGCAGATCAGCAGCCTTGTTTTCATCAGTCTGCTCCAGGGCAGTTGTGGCTGCAGCAGTAGCAACCAGCTCCATTGGTCGAGTGTTTGTCCACTGATCCGAAGGTTGGCGGTTCAAATCCCACCCTCAACATACATGTCTTTGGTGGAGCGGTCAGATCCACTGACCCACAGGTTGGCAGCGCCATTCCAGGTCCCACAGATGAATGCTGTCGTTGTGTCCTTGGGCAAGACACTTAACCCACCTCGCCCCTAGTGTCTGTGTACACTGATGTATGAATGTGTGTGTGAATGAGTGGTTCTTTGAGTGCCTTGAAGGTGGAAAAGAGCTGTATAAAGATGTAACCATTTACCATCACAAGTATGGAGTGACTGAATTATCAGCTGCTGGTCAGATGGAGCCGAAGGTGCAGAGGAGAGGGTCATGATCATGTTTTGTTTTTGTGTTTTAGATCTGTCTGAAGTGTGGTACGACGGCAGAGGGCACATCCAGCACTTGGACAGACTGGCCAATGCACGCAGCGTCAGTCCCACTAACGAGATGGTGTCCCACGAGTCTGTGGACTACCGCACCACGCTGCTCGACGGTATGGAAACACAACATCACACATTTCATATATCGTCATGCTACTTTTCCATTATTGGATGGTTGGTCTCAAACATTCTTAGCCAGGCTGGAGCTACCTAGTGCCTCCACTCAATTTCATTTCTCTCCAGCGACTAGGTCAGGAATCAGAATACACTAGACGGTTTGCAAGAACTCCAGAAGTTGTAGACCATGCACTGGCCAATCAGTGAAGAGCTGTGAAGCCATGATGTCAAACTTAAGCGCCTGTCTGGGTCACTTTTGTGGTACAGGACAACAGTAAACAAAGCGCTCGAGATGGATGTAGACGAATCCAGACATTCTGTGTTGGCAACGATTCCTGAGATCGAGGATTTAAAGCCGAAACAAAGAATTGATGATGAATTTTATCAAGGGGAAAGACGTTATTGCCGTTCTTCCTACAGGATTTGGCGCATTACATACATCACGACCAAATAGCAGCGATTGGTTAAATAAAAAAGTACCCACCTACTGTTGAGTGAATGAATCCTAACACTGCAAGGTCAGACTCTTTCCACGAAGTGAAACCGGCTGAATCAGGGTAAAACATTCTCACAGTACATTGGGGTTTCAGATTCCAGGAGGGCAGTGAAGGCAACTTGAGAATCAGGGACCCACTTGTGAACTTTAATGTTCCACAGTATGGCATTTAACTTAACTATCATCATGGTGACTCTAAAAATGTGTTGAATAAATTATGGCTAGGTTTAATCCCATACTGTGGAATATTTCAGAATTCCAGAAACAATGACAAGCAGGTGGCAGATGCGGACTTTTTCTGAGCAGAATGAGGAGTTTTTAAGCGTTTCTCAGAACTTCTCAGAGTTTTGCCATGCCGATGATGCTAACAACAACTATCATGCCAATAGCACACTTCCTGATTATCGGACAACGCTCTATCATTAGTTGCAGACAGTACACAGCGGACTTATTTTGATCTGAAGAGCTGCTTATACCATATATATCTGTACCCATTCTAAGGACAACATACTGAAATATTATCCTCACTCTGCTCCTGGTTAAAAGTCGTCTTATTTAAGGTGTACTTGAGTTGTTGAGTGGCACAGATCACAGACAGCTCGTGTTCTGAAGAATAATCGTCGCAGTAGAATGGCGACTGATGGAGATGTGTGGAGTGAGGTTTCCAATAATGACACATCCTCGGGCTAAAGCGAAACAGATCCTGGGCGTTCTCACGTACAAATGGTTACGCAGTTTAAATGTAAAGTGTATATGAGAGAAGGAGAAGAAAGAGAGAGAAAGAAAGGGTAGGAGGGAGACAGTGAGAAGGAAAGAGAAAAGCGATAAGAAGAGAAAGGATCGAGAAAGTGGAAGGAAAGGGACTCCCTGCATTTTGTTACGGAATTTGATCAGCATTCCATGTTCCAAAGCCCAAAACTTAACCAAAAGAACTGTTTATAAATCTAATCCATACTCAATAATGGGAAGAATACTTTGAAAATGTATTTTGTAAGAGTACTGTATGCTGAATACTTTTAATACTTTTACAGCTGCATTATATTATAGTGTAAAATATGACATATAATTACAAACTGATTTTTTTTTTTTATAACTAATGCCATGCAGTTAGAAGCCAAAATTGCATGATGAAGTGCTGCTTTGTATTCCTTTTAATTTAGGAAGTACCACCAAATGAAAAAGTAACTATTTATAACTGTTACTCTCCGATTTAGTATTCAGAGTACATATTTTCAGTACATGTATTCAGTTACTTCCCAACAGCGTCTATAACTTAACCTTAAGAAATAAATATATAGGCCATAAATAAATATTTGGAAACAAAAAAATGGGGAAAAAAAAAAAACTCAGTAAGCTCTGCCCCAGAACGACATGCCAAACATTTAGGAAAGGAGGAGAGGAGAGGAAAGAGAGAAGATGGACATGGAAGGGGGAGTGAAAGTAGGTTAAATATGATAACAATACATTCATTTGTGCTTAAAGGTCTTATATTACACAAAATGTAATCTTGTGAGCTTTATGTCATGTTATAATGTTGTTACCTCCTCAAAAACAGACCTGGAGTTGTGTTTTGTTTCATTCACACATGTTTGAGTAACACTTTATTATTAGTCTGTTTTCAACTCCAAAGCTCAAAATGTTCTGTTCTACCTTGTGATGTCATGTAGTGGTAGTTTTCATGTTAGCAGCTCCTTTTACCTTAAGATTAAGATTTTACTGATCACTTTTAAAGTTCATTTAGGTCTTGCATCAAGTTACATTTCAGAACTTTTAACCCTGTACGAGCCTCCCGCAGCCTTAGGTTACATCCACATGACAGCGCTCCTGGATTTTTTTAAATTTTATTTTATTTAATTTTTTTTGCAGGTTGAAAAAAATTTGCGTCCACACATGTGTCGGATCAATAAATATTCATGTCCAGACGACAAGCGAGCACTGAGTGAAAACGATGTAATACATATACCGCACCTACATGTGGCGCTGTTAACAATGATAATAATATTTAATAATGCATATCTCATCACTGTTTTTTAAACTTTAAGGTAATTTAGCCTATTTTAGATGTATCCCAGAAATATAGCCGCGTTGTTTGGCAAAAGTTATACATACGTGTTCGTTTTTAGTCATTATTAGAATGGCTAAAATAATTATTAGAAAAAATCCAATTAATTACTCATACATAATCTTTGTTATTGATCTGTGTGCGTAATCTACGTGGTGTGTGTTGTTAGTATTAACGTTATCAGCGTGTCTCGGGTTGCTGGGCAACAGGAGCAGCTCTGTAGGCTACACCTGTTCCATTTCAGCAACAGACTTGCAGTCTGTGGAGGCTGGTTCGTGGGCTGTAGCCTTCACTGCATCGGAGGACCCTGGCAATGACGGAGTCGCAACGTCATTGTTTTCCAAAAGCTGTGGTTTGTCCACACGACAATATCATTTTCACCCACCAAAAGCGCCGGCTCTGTGTGGACGAAAGGCCAAAACGAATACAAACTTCACCATTTTGACCAAAAAAGGTTGTCATGTGGACAGGCCCTTAGATCCTGAGGCAGGTCTTTGTGGCTGTTCCAAAGTCCAGACTCCGGACGAAGGCTGATGGAGCCTTTTCAGTCCGGGTGCCTCAGCTTTGGAACGACCTCAACTCGTACCATCAGTATCATCTTTTAAATCACTTTTTAAGACAAATTTTTATCATTTGGCCTTTGTTTAACTGGTTTTAGCTTGATTTTATTCCTTATTTATTTTAATTCTACTTCTTTTTATTTATTTATTATAATTTTAAAATCATTGTTTGCATCATTGTCTGTTTTTGTTTGCCTTCTGTATGCTATTTTTACGCTTTTTGTATTGTTTATTGCTGCTTATTAACTTCAGAGATAAGCTATTGAAGGGCTGAAATGGTCCAAATGATTCTAGTGAAGGTGTATGGAGTTTAAAAACACAGTGGAGCACTTCCTGTATTATCACATGACATCACAATCATGTCATCACAATACTTTTCTGAGAGAAGAACTCCAGGTGACGAAACCAAATCAGAAAATAGCATAATATGGGCCCTTTAAGCTAAATACTGTAAAACTAATTTTGCTAATTTTACGGTCTCATTTAAAACTAATTTTATTTCAACTTTTTACAGTACTTTTAATTTTTCGTGCAGTATAGATTTCAAAGCCGTACAGAGTGGTGCATTTCAGAATTAGTTCCAGTTTCAAGTTCCCCTGAGCTTTTCTCGACCTCGAATCTGATCACAACTTTGTACTTTAGTGACCCCAAACCTCAAACTCTACACGGGGAATCTAACCCACAACCTCCTTACTGAGAGGAGGAGACGGGCTAACCACTCTGCCACAGTAACACAGGGAGAAAGACGCGGAAAGATCAGGAGTCTAACCCACAACTTCTTTGTAAATTTCAGATCCAAACAGCGAGCGTCCCGAGTCTTGCCGGGCTGTTCCTGTGTACGGCGGGAGTGGGGAGCTGTTGCACCACCGCGGGGCCATAGGGGGCGCTATGGGGCCCGATGAGTTCCTGTCTCCTCTGCTGTCTGGGGCCCCCGTGCACATAGACCCGAGCTGTCTGCACCCAGATCTGCTCCGAGAAGTCCAGCACGTGGTGATCAGCAGAGACAGGCTCATTCTGCACGTGCACCAGGTCATAGGGAGAGGTGAGGCTAAAGAGGGACTACAGCGGGACTGGACCGGGTCTGGACCAGGACTAGAGCAGGACTGGACCGGGACTGAACCAGAACTACAGCAGGACTGGACCAGGACCAGACCAAAAATGAACAAGGTTAGACTAAAAATATACTAAGATTTGAACACAACTAAAACAGAGCTGAACCAGGACTCCAGAAGGATTTGATCAGGACTAAATCAGGACTACACCAGGACTGAACCAGGACTAAACCAGGACTAGATCAGGACTAGACCAGGATTTGATCAGGGCTAAACCTGGACTGGACCGTGGCATGAACAAGGGTAGACCAGAAATGATCTGTGCAAGAACAAGTGTCAAACCAGGACTAGACCAGGACTAGATCAGGACTAAACCAGGACTGAACCAGGACTAGACCAGGATTTAATTAGGACTAAACTAGGACTACGGCAGGACTGAACCAGGACTGGACCGTGGAGTGAACAATGGTAGACGAGAAATTGTCTGTGCAAAAACAAGTATTGAACCAGAACTAGACCAGGACTAGATCAGGACTAAACCGGGACTGAACCAGGACAGAATCAGACTGGACCAGGACTAGACTGTGAACAAGTGTAGAACAGAAATTAACTAGGGTCTACGCAAGACTATAACAAGTACCAAACCCAGACTAGACCAGGACTGGATCAGATCAAGATCAGGACTACACCAGGACTGAACCAGGACTGGACCAAACATGAGCAAGAGTAAACCAGAAATTATCTGGGATCTGCGCAGGACTGAATTAGGACTGAACCAAGACCAGCTCAGGACTCGACCAGGACTTAGACCAGGACTTAGACCAGGACTTAGACAGAATTGAACTAAAAATGAACACACATACACCAGAAATGAACTAAGATCTGCGAAGGACTAAACCAGGACTGAAACCAGACTGGACCAGGACTAGATCAAGACTAAACCAGGACTGAAACAGGACTGGACCAGGACTAGATCAAGACTAAACCAGGACTGAAACAGGACTGGACCAGGACTAGATCAAGACTAAACCAGGACTGAAACAGGACTGGACCAGGACTAGATCAAGACTAAACCAGGACTGAAACAGGACTGGACCAAGACTAGACCAGGACTAAACCAGGACTGAAACAGGACTGGACCAAGACTAGACCAGGACTAAACCAGGACTGAAACAGGACTGAAACAAGCTATATCATGTTGATCCTTTTAATGTCGGATTCAATTTCACTTAAACTCGTTGCTTCTCCACAATAAAAGTCATCTGCTCTTACATAATAAAATCTGCTCTTTCACAGTAAAAGCACATCAGTCAGGAGAGGGTTCGGTTTTGTTCTTTTTGGGACGTAATTTGATATTTTGAACCTTTTGTTTGAGCGTGATCGAACTGTGCCACGCCAATTACTGCCCACACAACCCCAGAATGGTTTGGACTAAAGCAGAACTAAACCAGGACTGAACCAGGACTGAGCTAGGATTTAAAGAAGATTGAAGCTGGACTGAACCAGGACTAAACCAGGGCAAAACCAGGACTAAATCGCAATTAAACCACGATTAAACCACAAATAAACCACGATTAAAAAGAGCTGCTCAGGTCTAAATCCGGACTAAACTGAGACTAAATCAGTACTGTATCAGGGCAAGACTAGGACTAAACCAGGACTGAACCAGGACTAAATCACGAATAAACCAGGATTAAAAAGGACTGCTCAGGAATAAACCAGGACTAATCTCGATCTAGGACTGAACCAGGACTAAACCAGGACTAAACCATGATTAAACCACGACTAAAAAGGACTGCTCAGGACTAAACCAGGACTAAACCCGGACTAAACTAGGACTAAATCAGTACTGAACCAGGGCAAGTCTAATACTAAACAAGGACTGAACCAGGACTAGACTAAGACTAAATCTGAACTGAACCAGAGTTAAACCAGGATTAGCCAGGCCTGAACCGGGACTGAACCAAGACTGAACCAAGACTAAATCAGGACTGAACCAAGACCGAACCAAGACTAAATCAGGACTGAACCAAGACCGAACCAGGACTAGACCATGAATGAAGCTGGAACATACCAGGACTAAACCAGGACTGGACCAGGACTGATACAGGACTGAAACTGAACTGAACCAGGATTTAAAGAGGACTGAGCCAGGACTAAACCAGGACTAAACCACAACTTAACCAAAACCATTAAGGTTACCAAAAAAGTGAATTACCTTACATTGTAAATAAGACAGTAGTTTTTTTGTTTTGTTTTTTTTCCCAGACCAACCAAGAAATCAAATTAGAAAAAAATCTGTTCAAAAAATTCCTAAAAATCTTCGTCTAAAAAAACAACAGTCTCACATGACTCTGGAGTTTCAGATTTCAGGAGGGCAGTGAACGCAACTTGAGAATCCTGAACCAAAGCGTGTAAACTTAAATGCACTTGTGTGTAATTTTGATTAACCCCATTCTTTATTGTCATATTTATTGGACTATTTTGGGTTTAAACAGTGAAATTTCATAGATTTGAGTTAAATTGTATTCATTTGAATATTATTTTACTTTCAGGACATTTCGGCTGCGTTTTCCATGGAACTCTTCTGGAACCTGATGGACACAACCAGCACTGCGCCGTCAAGAGTCTCAACAGTAAGTGACTTTACGGCCCCGCCTTTGTTATGATCAGGAAAAATCGAATTATCTTATTTATTTAATTATCAGTTAAAGGTGCATTGTGTAACTTTTCTGGGGAGGGTCCGTCATATGCTTTTCTCTATTGCTTTGTCTGGAATTTTTCACAGTATGGCATTAAACTCTCCTGTCTTCACGGAGACCAAACCAAACTAAGTTACAGGTCAGATCTGTGGAGAGGCGACCCCGTTCACAGTCAGAATGTTGTTTTTCTAGGTGTTTTTGAGCTATAAAACCACCTGGAATTGAATAAATGTAACGTAAAGCTGTTTAATGTCATACTGTGGAACATTCGAAGCAGCGCAATGACGTATCCATAGAAACAAGCAGACCAAAAAGTTACATAGTGCACCTTTAAGTGGCAGTTTGTGGGGAAAAGTTGAAAAAAGCTGAAAATTATTAGAAGTAGTGCTGACAGAGGTGGGACCAGGTCTTTGATTTGCAAGTCTCAGGTAAGTCTCAAGTGTTTGACCTCAAGTCCGAGTCAAGTCCCAAGTCAAATACAGGCAAGTCCACTGGCTCATAAGTCCAAGTCTAGTCCAAGTCGTCTGCTTTGAGCTTCAAGTCATTTCAAGTCTTTAAACCAAAGTACCAAATATAGAATAGATTTTTGCAATTTATATGACTTTTTAAAATTGGACTTTAAAAAATCATAGTATATTTATATGAGTATTTATAGAGTATAGAGTTGTAGAAAGTAATTTAGTAATTTTTTCTTTTTTTAAATGTCTTGACAAGATCTTAGTGTGAATCATTACGGTCAGAATAGAAAGAATTCAGATTTAAAAGTGCTTCTCAAGTTAAGTCCGTGTCAAGTCCCAAGTCACCGACCTTGAAGTCCAAGTCGAGTCCCAAGTCTTAGTCCATTTTATCAAGTCAAGTCTCAAGTCCTAAAAATAGTGACTCAAGTCCAAGTCACGACTTGCAAGTCTCCACCTCTGAGCGCTGAGTTTGAAAATTCTATTCTAAATGGAGAGACAATTTACATGCAAGGAAGTCATTTTTTCTGACAGTTTAAACTTTGAGTTAACAAAATAAAGGTCTTATTGTTTTTTTTTTGTGTTCTTGTGCTATAATGTCTATAGTGTTAAGTTTTGGCACTTGTTAACATCATGGTCACTAGATAACAGTTATGAAATTACCTCTACCTAGTCAAACCTGCTGTCTATGTCCAAGGAAGTCAAATCATTTATGCACTTTCATTTTTTTCTGCATATGTAAGTCCATCTTTTCTTTGTAAACATGACTCCATTGTCCCATCCCTCAGCTGTGACCTGCGCAGACCTTATTATGAAATTAAACCCAAATTAAATTAAATAAAGAGAATTTTTCCTCAGACAGAGATGGATGAGTTTGAGAGAAGACCGTGACGGGAGGTCTGTGTAATCGTGTTAGAATATTACAGATCTGGGCTAGACCTGTTTTAGTCTGGGTTTAGTCCTGGTTTAGTCCTGTTTTAGTCCTGTTTTAGTCCTGGTTTAGTCCTGGTTTAGTGCTGGTTTAGTCCTGTTTTAGATCTGTTTTAGTACTGGTTTAGTCCTGGTTTAGGCCTGGTTTAGTCCTGGTTTAGGCCTGGTTTAGGCCTGGTTTAGTCCTGGTTTAGTCCTGGTATAGTCCTTGTTTAGGCTTAGCATGGTTCAATTTCACAACCATGCCCTTGACCTGAACAAACCCCTAGAAAAATATAGTGATAGTATCCATTTGCAGATTAACTTTAAGGTTGCTGGTTCTAGCCCCACCTCAATGCCTCCTGCCATTGCTCCTCCAGGTTTACCTTTAGGATGTGACATTGGCCTGACTGGGTCTAACCACATGGAACAAACATTGACTCAAAAGTTCAATGTCTTCTCTGTCAGTATGAATAAACAGCAAAACTATTATTTTCACAGTAGCGTGTTAATATAATATGGCAAATTTGTGTAGTTAATCCCAAACAAATAATGATAAGGATCATCAGTTTCTTTTTCTTTTAAAAATGTGTCAAAGCCAGAACTGGTTAAGCAGGGCTGGTCCTGGTTTGTACTTGGATGGGAGACCACTGGGAATATCAGGTGTCACAGTGGGGCAGCAGTGGCAAGAACTGTTGTTGTGTCCTTGAGCAAGACACTTCACCCACATTACCAAGTATGAAAGTGGTGTGTGTGTGTGTGTGTGTGTTGGTGGTGGTCAGAGGTAGCACTAGGTCAGGAACTGGAATACACTAGACGATTTGCAAGAACCCCAGAAGTTGTAGACCGCGCTCTGGCCAATCAGTGAAGAGCTGTGAAGCCATGACATCAAACCCAAGCACCTGTGTGGGTCCCTTTTGTGGTAGTAAACAAAATAAAGCAAACAAAGTAAACAAAGTGGTCGAGATGGATGTAGAAGAAGACATAGATTCTGTGTTGGCAACAATTCCTGAGATCGAGGATTTAAAGCCGGAACAAAGAGAATGTTATGCGAATTTTATCAAGGGGAAAGACGTTATTGTCCTTCTTCCTACGAAATGTGGTGCATTACATACGTCACGACCAAACAGCAGCAATTGGTTAAATAAAAAAGTAGCCCCCTACCATTGAGCGAAGGAATCCTAATGCTGCGAGGTCAGACAGTTTCTACAAAGTGAAACCGGATGATGAATTAGGCTAGAAGGGGCCAATGGTGCAGATTAGCAGCCTCACCTCTGTCAATCTGTCTCGGTGCAGCTGTGGCTACAATAGTATCTTATAGACAGGTAAAGTGAATGAATAATGCTCTGTAAATCACCTTTAGTTTCCAAAAAGCGCTATATAAAAATGGACCGTGGCATGAACAAGATGAGACCAGAAATTATCTGCACAAGAACAAGTACTGAATCAGGACTAGACCAAGAATAGATCAGGACTAAACCAGGACTGGACCATAGCGTGAACAAGAGTCAACCAGAAATTATCTTACAGATGGTGGAAAGAATGAATAATGCTCTGTAAATCAGTTCAAAAAGCGCTATATAAAAATGGAAGGAAGATAACAATTCTGTGTTTCTTTGTTGTTTTTTTAGGGATCACAGACCTGGAGGAGGTGTCCCAGTTCTTAAAGGAGGGAATCATCATGAAAGACTTCAGTCACGAGAACGTTCTATCACTGCTCGGCATCTGTCTGCCACCAGAGGGCTCCCCGCTGGTCGTGCTGCCCTACATGAAGCACGGAGATCTGAGGAACTTCATACGTGACGAGGGACATGTGAGTCTGGGACTGGACCTAGTTTAGACCTGGTTTAGCACATTACAAAGACTTAATAAACATGATTTGTGATTTTCCACTGTCTGTTTTTTCTCGACAGAACCCAACAGTAAAAGATCTCGTGGGCTTCGGTCTGCAGGTGGCACGAGGAATGGAGTATTTGGCCTCTAAGAAGTTTGTGCACAGAGACCTGGCTGCACGAAACTGCATGTAAGTAATTTAAAATGTGTGAAGAGGAGCTGAGGAGAGGGTCAGATGAAGCTGAGGATGAGGAGGAGAGGGTCACATCAGAGTCCTGCACCGGGTCAGGTACCCGCGAGTAAACGGGCAGGTTTTAACGTTCTGGAATTTTACGGGCTGGTAGTGATTACACACGGGCGGGTCAGGACTACACCAGGACTAAACCAAGTCTAAACCAGGTCTAAACCAGGACTTCACCAGGACAACACCAGGACTACACCAGGTCTACACCAGGACTACACCTCTACACCAGGACTACACCAACACCAGGAAACACCAGGACTACCAGGACCAGGTCTACACCACCACTACACCAGGACTACACCAGGACACAACTAAACCAGGAACACCAGACACCACTAACACCAAGTACTAAACCAGGTCTACACCAGGACTTCACCAGGACACCAGGACAACACCAGGACTAAACCAAGTCTAAACCAGGACTAACCAGGACTAACACCAGGACAACACCAAGGACTACACCAGGACACACCAGTACAACACCAGGACACAACACCAGACTACACCAGGTACAACACCAGGACTACACCAGGACAACACCAGGACAACACGACAACACCAGTACAACACCAGGACTACACCAGGACTACCACCAGGTACACCACCAGGACAACACCAGGACTACACCAACACACCAGGAACACCAGGACCAGTACAACACCAGACTACACCAGGACTACACCAGGACTACACCAGGACTACAACACCAGGACAACACCAGGACAACACCAGGACAACACCAGGACTACACCAGGACTACACCAGGACAACACCAGGACTACACCAGGACTACACCAGGACAACACCAGGACAACACCAGGACAACACCAGACAACTACACCAGGACTACACCAGTACAACACCAGGACACACAACAACACCAGGACAACACCAGTACAACACCAGACAACACCAGTACAACACCAGTACAACACCAGTACAACACCAGGACTACACCAGGACTACACCAGTACAACACCAGGACTACACCAGGACTACACCAACACCAGACTACAACACCAGTACAAACACCAGGACTACACCAGGACAACACCAGGACTACACAACACCAGGACTACACCAGGACAACACCAGGACCACACACCAGACAACACCAGGTACAACACCAGGACTACACCAGGACTACACCAGGACTACACCAGGACTACACCAGGACTACACCAGGACTACACCAGGACTACACCAGGACACACCAGTACAACACCAGTACAACACCAGGACAACACCAGGACAACACCAGTACAACACCAGGACTACACCAGGACAACACCACCAGGACAACACCAGGTACACACCAGGACTAACACCAGGACTAACACCAGGACTACACCAGGACTACACCAGGACTACACCAGGTCTACACCAGGACTACACCAGGACTACACCAGGTCTACACCAGTACTACACCAGGACTAATCCAAGTCTAAACCAGGACTAAACCAGGACTACACCAGGACTACACCAGGACTACACCAGGACTAAACCAAGTCTAAACCAGGTCTAAACCAGGTCTAAACCAGGACTAAACCAGGACTAAACCAAGAATAATCTTGGATTTAAGAGAGAGAACCCCAAGCCTGCAATAGTCTAGGCAGGCGCACCTCCAAGCCCGTCCCAACAGTGAGTCCTGGTTCAGTTCTGGTTTAGTCCTGGTGTTGTCCTGTTTTAGTCCTGTTTAAGTCCTAGTTCAGTCCTGGTTCAGTCCTGGAATCAGTCCTAGGTTAGTCCTGTGTTAGTCCTGTGTTAGTCCTGGGTTAGTCCTAGGTTAGTCCTGGGTTAGTCCTGTGTTAGTCCTGTGTTAGTCCTGGGTTAGTCCTGTGTTAGTCCTGGGTTAGTCCTGGTTTAGTCCATGGTGTGTGCGGCACAAAAGTCCGGCATCAATGATCAGTGTCTCTTCTGCTCAGTAAATAATGCCTGTGAAGTGACAGTCGAGTCGCATCTGTGAATTCGTATTCGTACTGAAGAAACCGTTTCATTTCATTTCGTGATTCTAATTCTTGAAGTCGTAAATTTTCAATTTGTATTCTGATGGATGCTTTTAATTTGTGTGTGATTTATCATGGGCACGGGCAGGTAACGGGTCTCCAAGAATGGACCCGTGCAGGACTCTGGGTCAGATGGAGCAGAGGACTGACTGTCTGTGGTTGCAGGTTGGATGAGAGCTACACGGTGAAGGTGGCAGACTTTGGCTTGGCTCGAGACGTTTATGAGAAAGAATATTACAGTGTTCACAATAAGAGCGGAGTCAAGCTGCCGGTCAAGTGGATGGCCCTGGAGAGTCTGCAGACGCACAAGTTTACACACAAGTCTGACGTGGTATGTGTTTGATTACTAGTACTACTCTTACTACTACTTCTTGTACTGCCACCACACTACTGATTCTAAGACTACCACATCCATTCCTACTTCTCTTATTATTCCTATGTTTACTACTACTGCTACTGATACTATTACTGTTATTACTACTGCTACTACTGATACTAATACTGCTGCTGCTACTACTACTACCACTTCCATCTTCTATTCTTACTACTAGTACTAGTAGTAGTAGTACCACTACTACTACTCCTACTATTACTAAAACTACTACTAATACTACTACCACCACTACTAATACTACTACCACTTCCATCTTCTATTCCTATTACTTCTACTACTAAGACTACTACTACTACTACTACTACTACTACTACTACTACTACTACTACTACTACTACTACTACTACTACACCCCTACTACTTCTACAGATTCTAAGTCCATGTTGTATTTCGTGTGTAGTGGTCATTTGGCGTGCTGCTGTGGGAGCTGATGACCAGAGGAGCTCCTCCGTACTCAGACGTCAACTCCTTCGACATCACAGTGTTTCTAATGCAGGGACGAAGACTACTACAGCCAGAGTTCTGCCCAGACGCACTGTAAGTACTACTAATAATACTCCGAATCCTACTTCTGCTACTGCAAATACTGCAGCAATACTGCTGTTTCTCTCAGTTCGTATCAGAGCAGAGGAGTCAGGTAAAGTTACAAAGAAAACCTCACAGACAGGAGGAGCTTCTCTGGGTCACTGTGAATACTCCGTCTCCATAGAAACAGACCCAAACATCTGCAAAAACATGACCGACATCTCACGTACACTGTAAAATAACACAGGCAGAGCAGGTACACTCTGAAATCCACACTTTTGGAGACATGTGGGGCTAGTCATGTGGAGCTGGGATGAACACTTGGAGAGAAAGAGAAAGAGTTCACATTTAATGAACAGTTTTCACTAAAGTAGTACAATCACAACTGAACCTGAGCTGCCTGTACTTGCACATAGAGGACACTAGCACCAGTACTGACTAATGGGGGTTTTGTAATACGAATTTAGATCAGAGAGAGTTCTTTTAGGTTTAAACCAGCTGGATTTCAGCATTGGAACTGGCAATGTGAGGCCCATTGTGATTTCTGGGTCTTGAGAAACTGATACACCAGATTATGACATAAACAATTTTTGGCACGTTTTGGCAGTTAAGAATAAATCAGCATTACAATTGTTATCAGCAAAAGTTATGTTTGATTTGAACATGTTTACGTCAAAATCTTCTCGCTGTAACGGCTGCTGCGTTCGTTTTAACCCACACTACGCCCACCGTCCTGGTGTTTTTATTTCACAATTTTATTAGTAAATCATGACATGAACATTAATAGCGGACAAATCAGTTTTGATTGACAACGTTGTGCCTGCTAAATCAGCGGTACAGGCATTACCATCAACAGCCTCACTCTGGATTGGCTCTTTGGTTGCTATGATACTCATGGTCGGAATTCCAAATATGGAACTTTGCTCCAATTTCACCGCTAATTCTGGGTTTTAGATGACGGGATCGCATCGTCATCATTTTCCAAAAGCTGTGATTTGCGACCAAAAAAGTTGTCATGTGGACACCACCTTAGTCCATTTGAACAATATTAATTTTAGCTGCCCCCAGCTGTATTAAATGTGATTGGACTATAGAACATTGTGATATCATCTGAAACCCAGCAATATACTCTTCTACAAGAATATTTATAACCTCTCTTTCTCTCTCTCCCTTCTCTATCTCTGTCCCTCTCTCCTCCTCTCTTTCTCTCTCTCCCTTATCTATCTGCCCCTCTCTCCTACTCTCTTTCTGTCTCTCCCTTATCTATCTGCCCCTCTCTCCTCCTCTTTTTCTCTCTTTCCCTCCTCTATCTGCCCCTCTCTCCTCCTCTTTCTTTCTCTCTCTCAGGTACACAGTGATGATCGAGTGCTGGCACCCCAAACCCGAGCGCCGTCCCTCTTTCTCCGAGCTCGTGTCCCGGATCTCCTCCATCTTCTCGTCCTTCAGCGGAGAACACTACGTCCTCCTCAACACCACCTACGTCAACATCGACAAGCTCAGCCCCTACCCCTCTCTGTTGCCCCCCTCTGGAGCCGACCACAACTGCACCTCCGGGGCCGATTCCAGCGGGGAGAGCGCGCTACTCAGCCTCACCACACAGGGGGCGCTCTTCAGTAACCCCGAGCACCACTGTTACGCCTAAACCGGGGCGGAGGTGTTTAAAGACTCCATATGTGAGAGAAATGTACAGATACTGAAGCGAACACTGCCATTTTGAACTTTTATTGCTCAAAACTCAAAAATGTGAAGTTTTCAGACAGGAATTAAGAGGAGAATTTTAAACGTACACTCAGAAATAGCTTTAAATAAATGTTTTATGTCGAAGTTTTCCATCAGAGTTTTACACTGATCGAAATTACATGTTTTAAGAATATTTGTTTTGACTCACGCCTTCCTCAGACTGCTCCCGGTCCAGCTGAGACTGCAGTGTCAGACCCATATTTTAAAAGTCACAAACCTTCACAACCCAAATAGACATTATTCGTGAATCACAAAATAAAGTTGGATTTGAACAATTAGTATTACTCAAGTTTTAAACAATGAGAAACAATAATTGAACCTGCAACAACCATCAAAAATCCAAGGGTTTGTCCGCCAAATCGAGGTGCAGCGTTTCTAAATGTCTCTTAAGTTTAGTTGACTTTCAGCTCTCGTTTGCCAGGGTTTTTTTGACTCACATTGGCCTTGCATCCTGGTTAGGACTAGCCAGGCTGACCTAGTGCCTCTGCTCAATTTCATATGTCTCCAGCCACTAGGTCAGGAATCAGAATACACTAGACAGTTCATAAAAACCCCGGAAGTACAAGTTTGGGCACCAGCCAATCAGCAAAGACTCATATATTTTGTGTTGGCAACAATTCCCAAGATTAAGGATTTAAAGCCAGAACAAAGAGAATTTTTGGTGAATTTTATCAAGGGTAAAGACGTTATTGCCCTTCTTCCTACAGGATGTGAGAAAAGCTTAAAATACCAGTTAGCCCCGTTAGCGGCACATTACATACGTCACAACTAAATAGCAGCGATTGGTTAAATTTTTAAAAAGTACCCGCCTACCGTCAAGCAAATGAATCCTAACGTTGTGAGGTCAGACGGTTTCTACAAAGTAAAACCAGCTGATGAATCAGGGTACTTTAGGACCAGCACAATTTAGAAAGCCATAATTCCAAAAATAGTCGGCCTTGCTGGTAATTTTTTTTTTTTCTTTGCTGGAGATTCCAATTTGTGCTACCTGCTTGAGACCCACCTGAGGGTCGCGATCCAGTCTTTGGAAAATAATAATTCAACTCCAGTCAAATGAAGCTCACAAAGGCTGGTGGTTATAGGGCGAATTAGGAGCAGAGTTCCATTGGTAGGAGTAGGAATTGATTTACCGACAATATAGAAACACCAGGATCATGCAGAGCGGGTTAATACCAACATTTTAAGACCAAAAAGAGCAACCTGACAGCAGCTACAGAGAAAAGAGTGACGTTTTTCAATACAAAGTGAATTGGAGCCAGAATCAATAGAGCCAGAAGCGCGCCCATGCTCACTTCAGTGGATAGCAGGTTAACTATGCCCATTTATATATACGGTCTATGTGTGAAACTCGAACATTTTGCGGTCGGCTCCTGCATCTGGCAAAAATAGATTCCTAAATCACCTCTGTAAGCTGCACAGCGTTACTTCCTCTCTTTACTTTTAATTATTCCAAATAGTTGCGGTCACTGGAGCTGCACCGTGAGCAGTCTGAGCCCAGAGCGAACTGTTTTTACTCTTTTTAACAAGATCGCAAATTTAGCCAAGACATAACATTCAATTAGAAACATTTGATCCCAGTCTCTATGAAATATGAGAAATAGAAATATAGAGATAATACCATTTATTTGAAACCAATATCCTATTTTTCATCTATCATATCATTTATCATCTATCGTATCATTTTACGTCACAAGAGTTTGGACAATGTGAAGTTTGTTTATCCCCCGAAAAGGTTAAAGCAAGAAAAGAAGCATTCACTGCCATTTTATTTAAGATTTTCTTTATTCCACAGGCACAAAGTTAAAAATGTGAAATTGACAAGAGTTAGAATTTACTGATTTTGAAACTTAGAGATTACATTCTACAACAAGGGAGTTTGGACTTAGATTTTTTGCTTGAAATGTGTCAAAAAAATATAATATATATTTTGCTTGTAGTTGTAGTTCTTTACTATTGCCTGTTGGTGATGCAGTTTTGGATCAGTTCAAAGCTATTTTCAAGCCAAGAAAACAATGACCCTACTCTCTTTTGATAATTTTGTGAGAAAAAAATTGGAAAATATACGATTTTGTTTAGTTATTTTTCATTTGCCATTTATTTTTCCCTGTCCACAGCAAAATCTGATTAAATTGCACTAATAGGCCAAAAATGATGAAGAATTTAAGCAGCCATTTTGTAAACTGTGTGTGAATCTGCTGTACAGACAAGTAAATAATTGTCCGTAAATGTGGTGTTACTATGAGAAATTAAGCCAGATACCCTCCCTGACAAACTCTTTTTCTGTTACAGCCCCTGAACTTTTCTTTTAAAATGTTGTTTTATGACATAACAATTTGAAATACATATACTGTTTTTTTTTATAACATGAAAAATTATCTGCATGAGTTAATATGACTTGAATTCAGAATATTAATAATGGTGTATTACGTAACTTTTCTGATGAAGGGTCTATCACTTGTCTGTCTCCGTGAAGTTTGTAATACATGCGTCACAAATTTCAGACTTTCGGTCATTGGGCAATGCATACTGGGAAGGATTTTCCGAAAAAGTGAGCATCAGACCGTCATGTTTGTTTTCGCAGTAGGATGCGTTTATTGACAAAGCTGATCTTTTCTAGTCTTTTGAACTATATCGCTTTTGTTTCTGGTTCTGATATTGTCATATTTTAGTTTTGGGATTCGGACATCGTAATGGTGTGGTTGCTGGATCCTAACAGCGGAAAACGGCTCGAGAAATGTGTTTGCAAACTCCATAAATCCATAAAAGGGAATCAGATGTGTGTGACTGCAAACTTCTGTTCAAACTGTTTCCCTTCCCAATGGAATTGAAAAATAGTGAAAGGTGAAGGCGATGGGCAATACTGATTGAGTTTCCGCTGTCAGATCATCCAAAAACCACACAATTATGATGTCTGATCCCAAAACTAAAATATGACAATATCAGAAGCAGAAACAAAAGTGATATGGTTCAAAAGACTTGAAAAGATCGACTTTGTCAATAGACGCATCCCACTGGGAAAACAAACATGGTGTTTGATGCTCACTTTTTCGGAAAATTCTTCCCAGTATGCATTGCACATTGAAGTCCAAAAGTCATGATGCATGTATTGTTTTGACTTGAATGTTCCACAGTATGGCATTAAACATATTATATCTATCTACCATTATTGCAATTGTAGGCATTGTTATAGCTTAAAATAATACTTGTATGGTGGTATTGTGTTACCTTCTTGTTTTTATGGAGATATATAGGTTTAATGCCATACTGTGGAACATTCCAGCCAACAAAATAACTATAGACAAGCAGGTGTTGGACCCTCCATCAATGTATATTTCAAGTTTATATCAATACAGTATACAATTTGAAAGTAAAATGATCCAGCTATAGAATAAGAAAATCATTAAAATTACAAAATAAATGTTTAAACTTTTCAAAATGATTCAAAAATATAAGAATTTCAAAGTAATCTTAACTCATGCAGATTTTTTTTTTTTTTTTCCAGTGTAAGTGATGATACACTATTGTAATTAAGATCCAATTTTATCTCTGTACTTCCTGTTTTCTTTTTAAAGTAAATGTATTTTTGAGCCATGAATGAGGAACCCACTTCGAGGAGGATGTCAGCATTTCTAGACTGGAAAGTTCTCCAAACCTCTCTAAAAAAGAGGAACTGTCTCTCGACTTAAGATTTTGACGATGTTCAGGAACTTTAAGAAGACATAGACTTGCAAAGACTGAAAAATGTCAAAAGATAAGTTTCAAACCGTGACTGAAGCTGGAGTGTGGAACTACTGCAAACTGTAAATACTGAACCAAACACTGGAGGAAGTGGAGCCCTTTGTAAATAAAAGTCTGTATAAACTATATGTGTGTTTCAAAATAAGAGTCCTGTTCGGTCATATGTTCTATAAACCTGTCTGTGAATATAAGGTTAGTGCTGTAGAAGTGAAGTACTATCAAAATAAAATATGTTTTGTAAAATAAATGATTTGTGGGTGATTTATTTGGAAAATTAATCAACATTATTTAGTTTTCGCACTATGTTCAGCCAACTACATCACAACGTCTGCAGTGATATTTGACCTGCCCCCATCTCAGTTTAACACTACAGTGATGAAGGAGGAGGGGAGGGCATCTGACACACAGTTATATACAGCTGGGAGATGGGAGGGCATCTGGCACGGAAAGGTATAGAAGGACGGGAGTAGGGCTGGGTATCATTAAGAAATTGCCAATACGATACATATCTCGACACATAGGCCACGATACGATACATATCTGGATACAGTAAGCTTTCGGGTCGATCCAATTTATTTCAAATCAATTCGATACGGTTCAATAAAAAATCATTTTTAAAGACTGTGATACTAAAAATCTTTGTTCATCCACTTCTTGTGCAAAGTTCACATGAAACACAAACAAACACATCAAAACAGTGAAAATGTCAATTGTGTTGCATAAATTAGTTTCTTTCCTCTGAACAAGCAACAAAACTGTAGCGCTTTAATAAAATAATTTCGTAAAATATACCAGAAAATACTCTTGGCGATATATCAATATAGTATCCCACGATATCGATACTGTATCATCACATTAAACGATATGATATATCGGGAGGGCATCTGACACACAGGGAAATACAGCTGGGAGATGGGAGAGCATCTGATACAGAAAGGTACAGAAAGACAAGAGAACATCTGACACACAGTACAATGCAATGATATAATGTGAAAACATTTCAGGCAAACCAAACATCTCCATGGAGACAAGCAGGCTGCAGGCCACTTTACAAAAAAAGTGACACACTGTACCTTTAGAGTGCTTATGTTAGAATGTTGTTTCCTCATCATAAACAGACCTGGGAGTTGTGTTTGTTTCATTCACACATATTTAACACACAAATCCTGCATATTTACGTTTAAAACTTTAAACTCTGTTCCACTTTGTGATGTGCTCCACTGTGTTTTTAAACTCCACATCACTAATAATTCCTGAAGTTATTAGATGTAGCTTTTATAAAACAATATGCTAATGTATTGGTTGAGTTTTTGACCCACATTGTCAATGTTTCCAACTGGAAAAGTCTTTAGTAAGTCCCATCTTTAAATCTGGGAACACTGTAGTGCCAGTAATCACTGCCCAATAAGCTGAGTTCTGTGATGTCTAAAATATTAGAAAAAAAAATCATCTTTGAATAACTCACTAAACTCTGGGAAATGAATTAACACTTACACCCACAAAAGTCCAGCAGCACAATTATTCCACTGATTCTGTGCACTGATGGAAAACATCACTCATCCTCTGGATAAAGGAGACCTGGTGGGTGCAGTGTTTCTGGACTTAAAGAGGACATTTGATACTGCGTATTATGACTGTCTTCTCTCAAAATGAACATCCTTTAATTTTTCAGGTCAAGCACTTCCTTTGAATCACATCTACATGGTAGAGAGCAAAGTGTGCTCACTGAAAATGTAAAATCTACCTCAAGTGAATTTACGACAGACATTCCCCAGGGAAAGATCCTGGGGCTTATTCTTTTCTGTCTTTACTGAACAGTCTGGCTGAAGTTTGTCCTGGAATGGGCCTTCAGATGAACGCCAGTCACACAGTGGTTTACATGTCTGACAATCTGACAAAACCCTGCTGCCATCAGAACCAAATGAACCCAGAATTTGGAGAAAGTTGAGAAAGAAAAATATTTAGCAACTAATCTTTAAAAGTCATGTGAAAACACTGACATCAAAACCAATAGAAATAATCATTCAGAGAGAGCTTGCCTGTGTCTTTGTCAGTACTATGAGTCTGTTTCAGCCGTCGTAGCTCACCACTGTGTGCTCTCAGATTAACCCGACCACCTCAAAACCTCTCGAGCAGCTCTGCATTTGTACTTACAGCATTCTAGTCAAAAATCTCATCATATTTCACCACTGTTCTATTTAAACAAAACATGACATTTTTCATTTTGATCATTTCTGTGATTTTCGCTATGTAAACGTCATCTTTAAATGTTTGAATGGATTGGCTCTGGAACCTCTGTAAATGTGTAAATAGACTGTCCACATGAGTCACAGCACTGGAGTTCCTTGCAGAAAATTCATAATAAAAGTTAAATATCAATAAAGAATACATACTTTTTGTTTTTATAAATTGCACTCAATATAGACTTTAACATTTTTCCATAAATGTGATGAAGATACATTCTCATTAAGATCTGCTTTAAGTATTTGATTAGATTACGTCTGAACATTGACTGATGCTTAAGCCCTTGTAAACTTATTATGATGGATTTTGTTTCTGTGTCATGGTGAAAAATCTCTCTTTGATTTGAGCTTTTTGACCTTTTTAAATTGTATTGTGAAACGAGCTCCTCCCACGTTCATGACCTCACGTGACCCCAGGCTCAAGTCAATATGTCTGTGCAACAATTTCACTTCATGTTTGTCAGATCAGATGCCCTCCCATTCTCCTGTATCCCTGTGTGTCAGATGCCCTCCCGTTCTACTGTGTCCCTGTGTGTCCCTGTGTGTCCCAAACAAGTTGAACCGCTGGCACCTTTATCAAAGCCCAGTATCACTCACCTCAGTGACTCAGATGGAGACAAAGACAAAAACTGGACTTTCTCCTCTGAAAGTCCTGAGTCATGGTTGATAATCGGACTGTCAAATCTCGCCTCAATACGCTCCATTGTTCTACAGAGGAGGGATCAAGCAGGACTAGACCAGGACCAAGTCAGGACTAAACCAGGACCAAACCAGGACTAAGACAGGACCAAACCAGGACCAAACCAGGACTACACCAAGATTAATATAGGACTAAAAATGGAATAAACCAGGACTACACCAGGACCAAACCAGGACTAAACCAGGACCACACAAAGACTAAACCAGGACTGAACCAGGATTAATCCA